AGCGATTGCCAAAAGCGGAGCCTTTAACAGCTATTTCGGTTGCTGACCCTCAACTAACAAAAAACTATGGTATTTTTTCTATTCTTTGCTCCGTAGTTAGCAAAACTACAGTATCCCTAGTCCTGGCCACTAGTCTGGTTCGGCCACCCAATTACCCATTCAAATTCCAGCACGATACTCTGGACACTACGGGTCCGAATTTCTTTCCCTCCACCTCGGCCACCCTCAAATGGCTGTGTGCTCGTTATCGGGAGTGTCTCTTCTGGGGGGTTAAGTGGAGGGCCATCGTGGCCCATCGTCAGTCTAGCAGTTGGGACCGAAGAGACTCAAATTGAACAAATTGCTCGACCGGCTGCCAGTAAGGAGAGGAAGTGAGAGAGAGAGAGAGAGAGAGAGAGAGAGAGAGTAGAGGAATTAGCTCACAACGACCCATCTTTCCTCTCTTTCTCTCTCTTTTAGATGACCACCTTATGGATTGAGAGAGGACACCATAGTAAGTGGACACTCGATTTGAAGGGAGTAGGGCTATTGGCCTTTTTCTGAGGGCTTCAACTTATAAATGCGTACTTTGCATGCCAGAATGGCTAAAAAGTTAGTAGCAAAAATCTTATTCGCCCTTTCAAGGTTGATGTTATCTCGAAATGCAGGGGTTATCTGCATACCTGAATTACGAAAAAATGCCGGAAAATTTATTTCGTAGGAACTTTAAAAGCATTGATTTTTTTTATTGACAATCGGTTTTTTGCTACCTTTGTAGATATGTAAAAGCGGCATTTAAACATTTTATTGCTGCTTCGTTGGTGGTTTATTTTATCTGGAAAATGGTTAGCTTGCCGTCCCATGTTACCAAAAAGGCCCCCAGATTTGATGGACACGTTTCATTTAACGTTTTCATATACCGTTGTCTTCCAGCATGCCAGTATACTTAAAAATATACAGAAAAATTTATAGAAACTTTATTCATCAGATTTTTCGTCGAACATTGGACCCCCCCCCCCAGAATGACAAAAGCGAATCACAAATTTCATCATTTTCACAAAAACCCTCTTCCGCGTTTTTTTCAGCGGTAAGGCCAATCCAGCCACTTTCCTGGTGAATTCCATTGAACCATCCAGCGATTCCAGCTCAATCCAAAGAACGATTTTTCCCGGCGTTGTCAGCAATGCCCGCACGACACGTGTCCGAATTTAGGAACCGAAGCGTGGTGAAAAAGAAGAAAATAATCCATTAAATCCGCTTCGACTTTTTATCCAAAATTATAAATTGGTGTGAAGCAATGGACAGGAGACAGCAAACATTCAATCAGAACATTGGTACTTGACACTTCAAAAATGGGTCTATGGGATCAAAAAGTTTCCGGAATTGGTGCCAATTCAGAATGAGACTGGTGATGGTTATTCTGGATAGCAGTTTAGCCACCGGCCGATTAAAAAAAACAAAAATTACATGGATTGGAATGCCCATAATGAGATTTGGGAGGAACCCCTCGAGCGTCGAAGCGAAGGACCCTGTTTCTTTCAGGGAAAAAGAGCAATTTGACGGTTGACTGGAGAGTAGAGAGAAAGAAAGAGAGGGAGAGAAACAGAGAGAGAGAGAGAGAGAGAACAGCAGAGACCTTGATGGAATGGCCACTTCCGAGGAGTCTAAAGTCAAGGCCACCGCCACTTCTCTACCTTTAATGGCCATCGGGGAATGGCTAGGGGGGGGGAGGGAGATTCGGGTCATCTTCTCGAGGACAATGCAAATGGGGGCTGGCGGTGTGGAGTCTCCAGGATGAGCGATGTACACAAAGACGGGGAGTTCTCTCTGAAATAAAAATAAAAAGCCCTCCAAAGAAACCAGAAAATTCTGTTAAATGGTTGAAGTTCCGAAACATTGATTTTCAGTGACTTTAAATTTCTAAAATTCCTGTTGGTTTTCTTTAGTACTTAAATTCTTGGCATTTACAATAAATTGGAACAAAAAAATGAGTGAGACTGCAAGCTAAAAATTTCAGATGTAGTTCCGTCCCCTCTTTCGAGCTTTTGGGAACAATTGGCTGCCTTGCACTTTGTGAATTTTGACAGTTTTTGGCCATTTTGTCGGTTCGACAGTTTGACAACACATTTTCTGTATTTTTCGACAATCTAGCAATAAACTATACGCTTTAAAAATTTCCTGTATTTATGTTCATTTTTCGAGCGATCTTGGGCCCATTTGGCACTTTTACAGTTTCTGAACTTTCCGTTCCTTTCCGTTCTTATAAATCACCGCCCTCCCTTTTTTCTTCAACTCTCTTAATCCTTCTTGGCAAGCAATTAAGCGTTTGAAACTGAGAATGAATGTTTGCCGATCGAATCAGTCCTGGAATTTGGGCGAGAAAGAAATTTGGAAACCTTCCCCCGGGGTCGGAAACTGGGGGGCCCGCTCCCTTCATGAACCAGCTTGGTTTAACGGGTTTTAACCAGGAATTAAAAATCTGGCTGGAAAGTTGTAAAAAGATAGCCGTTGCTGCCTTTTTTGATTTTGGGAAATTCAGAAAGTGTCAGTAGCCCTCTAAAGGGAGATAGAGTCCACGTTCGACCCATCCCGTTCCCTCATGGCATACCACTGCCCGGCTATTTTTTGGACAATTTTCTGCTCTATGGGGAGGGAATCCGGTGTTGGCTTCGGAATTTTATGCATTGACTTGAATTCTATAAATAAAAATATAGAAGCACCGGTTGAGCGAGGAAATCAAGGTTGAATTTTGAAAGGACTCTGACAGAAAAATCGTACTTTTTTACGAAAAGTGAAATTTGTACATAATTAATTTTGAAACTGAAGAACGTTTATCGGATTAAATTCCTTAATATAGATAGCTTTTTGCAGATTTTAATGCACGTTTGTGCTTTCAAAATACGAAGTTTCGAGAATTTCAGAAATTGTCCAAAAGTCGATTTTAGGGAAATATCAAACATTTGAAAACGTGTTTTTCTTTTTGAATCATTGCTCAAAAATGTTTTGCATAACAGTTTGGCATTTTCCGTTCCAAAAGTTCAAACAAAGCTAAAAGAAAAATCGAAAGAGATCAGAAATCGATTTTTCTTACTACCGGAAACCCAAGACGCGTCGTATTTTCACAACTTTAGAAGAATTTAAATCACTTTTTCATCTGAATCACCTTTCAAAAGCTTTCTTACATAATTGGTTCTCATTTGCATCTAAAACCACAAAAAAACCCGGCAAAAGTCCCAAAAATCCGGAATTTCCTTGCAAAATACCTCCCACCCGCCTCCGATTCCGGACCAGCACCAAATGACGCATCACATCCACTATTACCGTTTTCCTGATATTTACGCTGTATCCACGGTTTTCTGGTGGATAATCTGCAGGATTTTAACTAGCCAGCTACTCTCGAAAAACGCGTGTTTTCCTAATAGTATCCACTCGGAATTCATAGTCATTTCAAGACTATTACTACTAAAAGTACCTATAAAAAGTCGGGCCCGTATAGAATTGTGATATATACTTGATAGGCCAAGCAAATTCATTTGTCTGGTTTTTGTTTTCAATCTACCTTTCGTTCAGCACTTCTCGAATGTCTTTTCGAGATTCAGAAATCTGGAAATTCGAATTTCTGCACTCAATTGAATTTTCTAAAATGGTTTTCGAAATGTTAAAATTCATTTCTGAACGTTTTCAAATTTTTTTAACCCTTCTTTGACTCAAAATCTAAAGTTTGTTTTATTTCACTACCCAAGCTTTTCCAATATGTACTTTGTTTTTTGGAACTCATTTTTTATTTTTGCAAAAAAAAGCTGACATTTTAGGGTACAGCTCATAAACCCCCAAAACTTGAGCCGAAAGTGGTGGGTACAGCATCGAAAATTGAGCTTTCAACCGGCCAGAAATGTATTTGAAGTAAATGTGGTAAGTACATCATTGTAAAAATACCCTAAAAATTATAACAATTTTTAAAAAATCTATATTGCTGAGTTTTTCGACGGGGGCCACCTCGGCCCCACGGCCCAGCCATTCTCCTAAGAAGTCTCATTTTTCGTGTATAGCTACTCGCTTTTGCTGCCGTAATCGGTAAGACTAAACTCAAATTGCTTCCGCAAAATTTAAACGCTGTACTGTTATATTTGTTTCGTGAATTTAAAAACAAAAATCTCCGTGTTTGGTGGTTTCCTTTTTGGCTACGACCACGGGCCATCGATACTCCTCTCTATGTTGTACGTGCCAGATAATAGTGGGATGGAACCGATGAATTCGTTATGGCAAGAAGGTTATCCGTATCGCTTACCATAGGTAAATCAGAGACCATATTAGTAATTAAAAAGCCTAAAAAGTTATATTGAGCTGCTCTGTCCGAAAAACATCCTGCAAACATGAAGTTTCTAATTCTATTTTTGGTTATTCGACTGGGAGAAAATCAAATTGAATAGATTCTGTCTTCACTGGACCTTTTAAAAACTAAATTATATTGATTTTCCCGACCGAAACTACTAAAAAACCCGAAAATTTTTAAAAGTTGATGAAAAATTTGCTAAATTTTACCGCAAAAGTTTTCGATTATTCTGACAACCAGTTAGCGAAATTGAACGAATTCTGACTTTGAAATTATTGGAATTCATACGAACCTGAAAAACAATAAAAAATTCATAATTTAAGGTGTTGCGGCGATCCCGGAAGTCTGCTCTCCGGCACTGGCTCCGATTTATTGAGTCGAAAGAAGATGATCGTGTTTGCTTCTATTGTATTCACTGTTAGACGCATTGATTTGTGGAGCTGCTTTTATGAGATTATCTTATTGATTGGAAGGGTGCTACTTGGATCGCTATTGTTGGGGTTTACGCAAAAAACTCTAAACTAATCGGCAAACCAGAAATTTTGAAGGTTTTGCTGTAACCAACTGTAAAAAATCAATGCTCCTATGTTTTTAACCTAACCTTTATTTCTCCTCTGCCCTCCATGTTTCGCTTCGATAATCGTTTCCGTATACGTGGTGAGCATCTCCAGCCCATATTCGAGGAACAATGGTCACTGGATTCCAGCTGATGGACACCTTTGGGCTGTTTGCCGCGAATCTGGTTGCTGGTGGATTCTCTTCATATCGATCCGAAGAACGTCGGATGGAGGTCAGTTTAAAAGAGAAATTTGGTTTTAATCGGGTTTGACACCCAGAAATTAAAAAAAGACCCAAAAATCACGCTTTTGCTGCTGTAAATTCGGCACATTTCTGAAAATGTCGGAATTTCTTGCTGTCACTATCACTTTAAAATAGTATTTTGGCTAATTGTTATCCGGTCAAGTCATTTAAACGCTTAGAATAGCCTTAGCATCCGATTTTGAAAAATTGCTGACTTTCCACAATCTCGCAAATCCTCAATCCGCCAGTTAAATTAATCCAGTGACAAAAAAGTTTAGTACAACCCTCAATTTCTCCGGATTTCCGGCTTAAAATTCTATTTTTGACCAATTCACCAATTAGTCTAAAGCGATTCATTGGTCTGTTTGGCCATCGAAACGAAAAACCGTTTGGACTCTTCTTTGGCTTTTGAAGGGGTGATAAGAGAGTGTCATAGACAGGAGAGTCACTGGAATGGAATTGAATGAAGTGAACATTGGGTCCCCAAACGAAACCTGGCTCCAAGGAGGAAAATCAGAAAATGGCACGGAAATCCGAAACCAAAATAGGGATGATAGCAGAATTTCGAGGAATTTGAAGCTTAAAATTGTAACTCAACCAAGGGCAAGCTAGCACAGATAATTGGGGATTTTTGGTCTAAACGGACCCCTCAAAACCAAGCAAACTAGCAGTGATTTTTGTAGGAATTGACTAATTTCTAGCCAGAATTACATCAAAATTTCTAAAGTTCAAGTAGACAATTGAGGCCAAGATGGGAGTTTGGGAATTTGTGAATTTGGATTTACAATTTTTTTGGGAGCTGGGGAATCTAGCAGAGATCATTAGGGTCTCGGATGCTGACGGCCCAGAAACTAGGCAAATTAGCAAGGGTCCATCAGGAATTTACCAAATTTTAGTGGGCTTAGATTTATATAACTGTATAACAATTAAAGGGACCGGCATGCAGATAAAGCCATGAAAACTTTTTGGCGAGCAAACTGGCAGACAACAGCTCGAATCCCTTTTTAGGCTAATGTTCCGGTTCGCGGCCGCCCTTCTGTCTATCCAATTCATTTGCTTCATCTTTCTTCCGGAGAGCCCTCGATGGTTATATGAACATGAAAAGAAGGAAGAACGAGAGAGGTATAGAGGAGAGACAGAGAGAGAGAGTGAGAAGGAGAGAGGGAGAAAGAACGAGTGGAGAGAGAGAGTGAGAGAGAGAGAGAGAGAGAGAGAATGAGGGGGAGTGAGCGAGAGAGCGCCGAGAGAGCGCGAGAGAGAGAAGAGAGAGAGGGAGAAAGATAGAGTGAGAAAAAGAGAGGTAGAAAAGAGAGCGACGAGAGAGGGCGAGAGAGCGAGAGAGAAGGAGAGAAATACGATACGATGTCACTTATTCCGATATCAATTAGGTATTGTCTCTATCTGTGCTGGGAGATACCGAATGGATCGACTATGAATTGGCAGAAATTGGAAGATACGACCAGAATGGAGAGAGAAGCAAAAGAGGAAGTCGATGGTGCGTATATTTTAAAGGGATTGTGACAGTTTGCACAAACAACCTTTAGCAAGCTAGTTTTTAGGCGGCGGCCCGGTATTCTTCCGTATTCTGGGAACGCCCCATGTCCGAAAGGCTCTGATAATTGGATGTCTCCTTCAGATATTCCAGCAATTGTCCGGCATCAACACATTAATGTGAGTGTTTTCTAGGTTATCTAGATGCTACATTGTCGATTTTACATTTAAAATTCAAAATTTTGAAATTCTAAGTTATCAACATATGACTGCTTAATTGTCAGCCCGGTTAGCTATTTTTAACGAAAGATTACAATTACAATTACAACACGCCCAAAATACAATTTAAAAAGTTTCAGAATTGCTAATTGCCATCCAGTTTACCGATTTTTAACTTTAAGAATCGAAAGCTATGGAAATATTTAAATTCTGCGATTTCCTATTTTTAGTTACCTGCCAGTTACGTATTGGTTCTAAGTGGCGAGGTAGACACCCTTCCATCCAACTTACACCCCCGTATGTTTCAGGCATTACTGTGGAACGATTATTCGATCGGCTGGTGTGAAAGACAACTACATAACCTTGATCTGGATCTCGGCTGCTGTTTCGAGTGAGTCTCTTTATTTTGCGCCCTAATTAGCGTATGTCCCCCTTGCTAGGTATCAACTTCTTCTGCACCTTCATTCCAATTGCCCTTATCGACCGATTGGGGCGACGAGTTCTATTCTTGATCTCAGTTTGTGGTGTTATTGCATGTCTATGTATGATGGCTGGTGCATTTATTACTATTAATAAGGCATGTTTTGGATGGAATACGTTCGGGAAAACGGCGGTGAAATTCCAAAATAGCATTTTTAAAAATTGGAAAAATAGATCGAGTTGCTAAGCTAGATTCAACCAAATAAAACTTGAACTTTAATGATTTGTCTTTTTTTAATCGATTACCGTAGAATAACGAAGCGCAAAAAATCCAAAAATTCTTTTTTCAAAATAGATTTAAATCGAAACTTTAAGCGCTGTAATTGTAAAAATTTCATGTTTTTACTGCAGGATCAATTTTATATCAATCGTGCCATTTAATTATTAGCGAAAATTAAAATTAATACAAAAATCTAAATTAATTTATTCAGGATTCCTCCCCAAACTTCAAAGCTGAACAATACAACGTGGATAATATGTATGATCCAACCGTCAAAAATGCCGACTTCTGTAGAAAGTTCAGGTAAAAAAATCGCCGTAAGCAGGTTTAATTTATTTTTTAGTAATTGCGATTTCTGCGTGACGGCTGATAGCTGTGGATTTTGCGAGGATCATGACACAAAAACGGTAGGACTCTAAAGGACTTCAAAATGAAATTTTAATGCAAATTACGATAGCCTAAAAATATATGGATTTTTCAGGGCTGGTGTCTACCGTTTCCGGACAAAAATTCGGACAAGTATTCCGCGACTGGCGCATGTTTGAATGGAGATTTTACCGTTAATGTAAGTCAGGGATTAGATCGCGTAATCAATTCGTCCTGCGTTTTCTCGTGCGAATTTTTATTTCCAATCGATTTGATTTCATTTAATTCTGTAAGGGTTTTATGTGAGCGTTAAAGTCACTACAGTACCCTGTTTCAGGGCACCAACGCGAAATTCGAGTGGCAAGACACGTACTGTAAATCGAAATTCACCTGGATGCCGATTGTTATTATGGTGCTGTATTTGGGGTCATTTTCGATTGGTAAGTCGAGAAATACTGTAGGAAATTTTATCGCAGTAGTTTTATTAGGACGACTGTATGGCAGTCAGCATAAAAACGCATTAATTAAACCCCGAATCATAAATACTACAGGAAATTTGATAGCTAAAGGTTTATTACGTCTACTGTATGCCAGTTAAAATCAAAACATAAAAAATTACACGATAAAACGAAAAGTAGTGTCGGCATCATAATACCACCAGTTTTTATTTGTCTACTGGAGGGCAGTTAGCATAAAACACAACTTTTCCAGGGTACGCCCCGATGCCGTGGGTGCTTAACTCGGAATTCTATCCGTTGTGGGCCAGATCAACTTGCGTATCGATTTCCACGGCTTCGAACTGGATTTTCAACTTAATTATTTCGCTCACGTTTTTGTCGTTGTCTCAGGCGCTGACAAAATATGGTAAGGGATATACCCAATTGGATAGAAAAATTAGTAAAACCTTTTGGAAGAACTTTCGAAAAATTCTTATTTCCAGGAACTTTCTTCCTCTACGCCGCCCTTACTGTAATCGCGCTGGTTTTTGTGTTTTTCTTTGTTCCCGAGACGAAGGGGAAGAGTTTGGATGAGGTACGGTAATCAGAAAATTCCTAAAAAATTCCTAAAAAATTACTGCGTTTTTGGCAGGCTAATCACTTGATTTTCTCTGTTTTTTTTCCAGGTTGAAATGTTGTTCATGACAGAAGACGTGCGAAAAGAGCGTTTGGCCCGGATACAGGAGAAAGGTCTGTCGTTCGGAGTTTGTATTCTGTAGTCCGTAGTCTGTAATTTCTAGCGCTATTCAATACCCAAGAGCTGAATTTTGTAGTCAGCAAGCCCGCGCTTAAATTTCACTAAACTTTATTGTAGTCTGTGGTCTGTAGCCCATAGCCGCCTTTTTGTAGTTTGTAGTCTGTAGCCTAATTCAATTTGTGATTAAAATCGAAATTCCAAAAACCCAGTCAAATTGTAGTTTGTAACCTAATGGGACGATGATCTAGATGTAGTTTGTAGCCGATAGACTAGAGTCCCTAATTGTAGCCTGTATTTTTCAGGCAACAAAAACGGCCGTGACCGCGAGAGCTCGATGCGGGACAAATTCTGAGCCCGTAACTAACCAAAGACACCATGTAAATACGATAAAGCTTTATCATTTTATTCGCCATGATCAAAGGTTTTGACGTGGTCATTTTCGGGTGGATCGTCTGTAATAAAATGGATAATCTGCTTTTGCAGAATAAGAACTTACAGTCATAGGATTTTGTTTCACTCCAAAGTCCTCCAACGGCTAGGCATTCGGTGGCTAGTTGGTAGAAAATAGAATTCAGGGAATCCGAGCTAAAATATTTACAAACTATAGCTCGTTTTCTCTCTCCCTCTCTCCATCTCCCTCTCTCTCTGTCTCTCTGTCTGTCTCTCTCTGTCTCTATCGCTCTCTCTCGCCTCTCTCTCAAACTCTCTCTCCCTCTCTCTCAAACCCTCTCACTCTCTCTCCCTCTCTCTGGCTCTCTCTCTCGCTCAAACTCTCTCTCTCCCTCTCCCTCTCTCTCTTAAACTTTCTCTCTCACTCACTCTCTCGCTCTCTCTCTCTCATCCAACTGACCTCTGATCCGCTTCTTCCCCTCCAAATTCAGCCGCGAAATAATATTCGAAGAGATTGAGCCGAGGCTCAAACTCGATATCGGTCATTACTGAAACAATAGACAATAGACTACCTACAGATGTCAATAATTCCCAGGTGAAAATTCAGGAAAAAGGCACGTGGCTGACTGATCCCCTCCCCTCTGCCCCTCCCCACCCCTGTCAATAGGCAAATATCGTAAAATGCTTTTTGCCTTTTGCAGCCATTTTGGTGGAAAAAAAAACGATTTTTCGAGGAGCGGCGGCCATTTGAAAAGAGTTCTTGGTCATCAAAAAAAGCCAAAAAAAATACTAATTAGGTTTTTAATAGGGGTTGAACCTGCACTTTTTTTTGGTTAGAACCCGGCCCTTCGGCAAGCTCGCAGAGATTCTTTGCGCAAAGAAGCGCTGGTAATTTTGGGGTGCCAAAAGCTACACCAAAAAGTTGGGCAGGCTAGCAGTATAGATATAAGAATTCGGCCTAGCAAAAGAAGTGCAAAACACATTTGAAAACGCAAAAAAAGCATTAATTTTCTGGATTCAATTTTAGAAATCAATTTAAAATTAATTTTAGAATTTTCAGGATTTAGCCAGTTGCGTATATTAAAATCAGTGTAATTTAATTATAAAATGCATGCAAAATGGAATTAAATTTAGTCCCAAGGGTCCAAAAATTGGCGGCCGTTCCGCTGCTCAAGTTGCCGATTGGACAAACAGAAAATCGAGAAAGAAGGATGGAGAAAATGGGATTCGGAAATTCCCATTTCAAACCCTTTCAAACATTTGCATTTTCTCTTTTTCGTTTTTGTAGTTTTTCGATGGTCAAAATGTCAATAGAATTGAGAAGGAACGGCAAAGGCAACTGGACATTTCCATCTTTTGGACCCGCGAATCGCCCGGCTGAATTCTACCGGTTTTATTGCCTCTTTTTTTTGGGTTTGGTGAGTCATTTTTCCGGTCCCTTTTTTTCTACTTGTATTTGTATTTGCATAGCCTTCTTAAGGCTTTTTCTGAATTTCTATAGCTTGCATAGGCTGTAACGCTGATCTAAAACGTAAGAAAAGCGATTTATTCACATTTTATGAGCCATAAAATCCATACCCGTCTCAGAAATGGTCAGCTAGCAAGGATCCACGTGCAAGAAATAGAAAATTACGATATGTATAGAAAACCATGAAAATTTTAGAAAAATTGACAGACAGTTAAAATATACTAAGCGTTTCATGGCCAAAAATTAATAAATCACTATAAAATTTTGAGAAAAATCGGATTCCGGGTTAAAAATGGCAGGAATTAAATATGTTAAATCAATAAATTAGCATAAAACTGAGTTAACGCCTAATAATCGGTCCATTTCAAATTCTCCGCATTTTCCTGGCCATGTTCATCAGCTCGAAAATTGCCCAACGTTGCTTTTGCTTCTTTTTCGATGAGTCCCACCAGCCAAGATGGTAATTCTACAGTAGGTCCCGTTTTTTCCGAGGTTACTGTAACTTTCGGAGTTGTAATTTCAGATTCGGTCGTACTGGCAGCCACCCCAGCCATATCCGCCGTTAAAACGGCCATAGTAACCGACGTTTCTTCGATTTTCGAGGTTACTGTAGCTACCGTGGCAACCGTTGTCGATTCGATTACGTCATTTAATGTTCTATCTTCTTGTCTTTTTTGTATGATAACCGGTTCTGTGGTCGAATTGCCATCGATTTTAGCCCCTTTCGTGGTTTCCGGGCTCAGAGTCCTCTCCTCCACCTCACTAATCGATTCGATTACGCCATCAAAATCTATAGGGCGCAATCCTTCAGATTTGTTCAGATTGAGGCCGAAACTCGATAAATTTCTGGTTTGCAAGTCAGAATGGCTGTTGTCAAGCTTGGCAGCTGCCGGTTTCACAGCTACGTCCGCTTTTTGGGCTTCAAAAGTTCCGGGAAGTTCCGGCTGGGCAAGTTCGAGCTGTCCACTCCCTTCGATAGCTTCGTTTTCAAGCTTTTCCACTTTTTCAACCTTTTTCTGCCTCGGCTTCTTCCTTTTATGGATTCCCTTCTTTCCCTTCATTCTCCTCTTTAGCTTTGTGTTGATAATTTTAGTGGTAGTGGGGGTTGTAGTTTGTACTACTTCCCCCACTGTCGTTCCATTAGTGTGTATTTCCGCCTTCTTTTTCCTCTTTAGCCTCAATACCCTGGCTGGTGGGATCGGGATTTCCGAGACTTGCAGATCCGACAGTTTTCCACGATGTTTCGTAATCAGATCGTACTGTAGCTTTATCGATCTGAAAGTTAGCTTTTTTGAAATCTTTGGGGTTTTTATGGCTTTGAAGCGATTTTTAGCTACATATAGATCTGTGAAAAAAATATTAGGGCTGAATCTACTATAAAATAAACAATCTTCACGGCTAAAATGGACGCCAGAAAGCGATTTTTACTACAAAAATTTATTAAAAATTATGAAAGCTCAGATTATGGCAAACCAAATATTTTCACGGCCGACTGGCTGGCATAGAAGCCATTTTCCAGGTTAAATTTGATGAAGGCAATTTAAAATTGAATTGACGACAAAAATTGTGCTTTACTTGCTAAACTGGCATCCATAATAGCTAATTTCCACGTTAAAAATTATTTAAAATGTGATTTTAGTTCAGTTTACCTGTAAAGAACCTCATCATGCCCCGGCCCGTGATAGACAAATTCGGCCTCATTATTCGGCAGAGAAGCACATTTATGGCCGCAACACCAGCCGCCAACCTGGAAAGTTATTAGCTTTTTTGGTAAGGATTAATGTAACCAAACAATAAAATTCTAATCACTTCAAACGTGAGAAAATTCTGGATTTTTCAATTCAGTTCGAGTGTTGGAAAACCAAAAAATCGGCCCACCTTTTCGTCATTAGTCGTCGTAATGGAAAAGCTGTGTTTTCCCTCGTAGCGATGTTTACGTGAGTTTAATTCACTCTGAAAATCCATTTTTTGGCTTTAAAAGTTCATGTTGTATCTTTTCCGAAATTCGGTAATCTGAACTTATGGAAAGTTTTTGAGAATAAACTTCGACGTACAAATACATTTTTAATCCAATTTAATTAAACTTCTTGCCTAGAAAATTGTTGTTGTTTTTGCTTACCAATCTGTGACTTCGACATGACAACCCGTTATTTAGATTGCAAATGGCCAGTGGCAGCATTTCACAAATAGCAGAGCCATAATTCGCGCCAGCCACCGAGACGAAAGTGTCTACCTGCAAACAAAATATAGCGGTTATTTTAGGCTTTATCCATACTAATTCGGAACATTCGGACTTTAAAAATTTTCAAAAAAAACCATTTTCACGAAATCAACGAAATTCCGTAGGGCTACAAACGCCAGACAAAAATTTTACAGTTGACTGGCAGGCAGTTTGGCTATTAACAGCTAAACTGCAGATAACCTTAAAGAAAAGTTAAAAACGAAAGCTACAACCTTCAAATGTATTTTTAGGTATATTGGCATCCATTTTGGCTAACAAAAATATTAAGACTACAAACTACAAGCTCCAGATGATTTTTTAGGTATCCTGGCAAACAGTTTAGATTTTAACGGCCTTAAAAAATTGTTAAATAGCTTTAAAAACCTACCAAATGCGTCAGCGGTTTTCCGAGATATATCCCATTACAATCCCCTCCAAGTATGGCCTTTCTCGTAATTGGAGCACCCATCGAAAAGGCCACAATATCAATCTTCCTCGATCCCGTATATTCATGGATTGCATCGATCATTATACGAATCTACAGTAGAAAAAGCGTATTTTTTATAAAAAATCCCTTACCTGTCTAACAAAACGGCATTCCATTTTTACCAGAACTAACCCTCCTTGAGGCCCGTTTCCCCACGTTGTCGCGTACAGCTTAAAATTAGTCTAATTTTTAAAATCAATTTTTAAATGCTTTAGATTTCTATTTAAAACCTCGGCATCGGTGTATCCCTTATTGTAGAGGTATTTCCGGAGCATTAGAAAACGGCCGGCTGTTGTGGCGACGCCGTGCACCATTAGGACCGGCTAAAATCGAAATTTTAAAAACTCATCAATTAAAAGTTTTTTTAGGCCGATTGAACAACAGGTAAACTAACTGACAGGCCAACAGACGAACCAAACACCAAAAAACCAGAAAATTAGTTTTCTGGCCTAAAAAAACAATTTTTAACACCATGGAGCATCAGGAAGTGCCGTAAAAGCGATAAAAAGTGCTAAAAATTCGGAAAATCTATAATTTTGTCGGCGGATTTTCAGATCGATAAATAAAATTACATATAGACAGAAATACAAATTATATGACAAACACCACAAATCTCAAAATCTATAAAAAAATTTATCGATAGCCAGACAGCCAAATTGGTGCCAAAATCCCAATTTTCGCCGGAAAATTAAGTGTAAATTAAATCGAAACACGATTAATTTTACAGACTGCCACCCAAGGTTACAAACTATAAAAATTTCAAGCCCCCACCTGTTTCCGAATCTCCTGATCCGGATGTAATTTGCCTCCAAAACTGCCCCAGCTGTGTTCTTTTCGCTCCAATAAATTGAGGGTAGCTTGGCCGACAGTATCCAGCAAATATCCATGGAAATCAGGGGTGAAACCGGCGTGTTGAGCCGTAGATTTAGCTATTAATGCATAGAGGAAGAATAGGCATTTTGGATAGAACATTAGAAGATGATAGAAGGAAGAGATATCCGCATTTGATGCTATCTGAAAAGCTCCTCTAAAATGCCATAAAAATACAGTAAAAACGTTCGTAAAAGAAGTAATGCATGACAGAAACCATTTTAACGAAGGTAAAAATGACAAATGACTCCCTGGGGGCGAGTGGAACGAGCGAAAAACTAGGGAGAAAACGCCAAAACAAAGGACAAGCCGCGGGAAGCACGGGGAATGGCAGGTCGAGGTCGAGGTCGGCAACACACACGGCATTCCATGGAGGCACGGATAGGACCCCCCCGGGGCCGCGGCGCAATCGGTTAGCGCCGATCCCAAATCTCAAACAGAGGGTCCGGGTTCGACCCCCGGGACCAACGTGCAACCGCTATTTCTCCCCAAAACCTTTGCCAAGCTTTTGCGTTTTGCTTAAAAACTGTGCTCCAGCCATTGAAAACTGCTAAAACAATAAGAATCTGGAAAAATTAACCCGATCAAAAAGAGACGGTTGATCCAATGGCGTACATTTTCGCAAAACAGTCACTTGGAGCCATTTTAAGCGTCGATTTCGGGCAATGGGGGGTAATGGACCTTGATTTTACCAAATCTAGGCTCAGATTTTAGCGACAATGCTTGGTTTCTGCGCTATTTAAAACCGCACAAAATCCTGAACTGAACTTCAAAAGACCATCACAAAAAAGTACCAGAATAGATTTTCGATAGTTAGGTCTCAAAATCTGCGCCTTGGCGTCTAGAATATTTAAATCTAATTGAGTTTCTAATTTTTCTATTACATTTCGAGAAAAATCTAGTTTTGTCCAAAAGTTTGTTCATTTTCGAACAAAAACGTAGCGAGCGCGCTGTCCCCTTGTGCAAGGGAGCCTGCCGTAGCCCAAAAGCTATCCGTGCCTGCCTGTTAAAGCCTGGAATGGCGTGCACAACAGCTAAAGCACCGCTTTTTTTGTAAAAAAGGGCGAGCTAGCAGAGATTCTTGGTAAAAAATTTGTTCCTGGATGCCAGATTGACTGTCTAAATCACAAAATCCCTACAGTAAATCCAAATTCGGGGTAAAAATGCGTAAACTAGAGTTGAAGTGGTGATCTGGCATCCAAAGAAGAGCTTTAGCTGGAAACTTGGCAAGCTAGCAGAGGTTCTTGAAGTGTAAGTTGTTTCCCGGATGCCGGCTTGACTAGCTAAACCTTAAAATAGCTACATTAGAATCGGATTATCTCCAAAAAAAAGAAAAGAAAAGTTCGAGCGGATGTTACCCATAAAACGGCATCTCGCCCAGCGAAATAAGGTCAATCTAGCAAAGATCCTTTAGGAGAAACCTGTTCCCCGGATGCCAGTTTGGCTATTTGAAGTACCAACTAAAAACGATAGCTCATCTTTGTACGATACCGTCAAAATAGGAGCTCAACGATCGCCCTGCAACCAAGTGTGTGCTAATTCTCAGAGACATATCTGCCATCTGAAGCCTCAGAAAACTCAAAATAAAACAATAGAGAGATTGATCTTCATCCCCCCCCCCCTCATCGTGTTGTCATGTCAAAAATGAGGGACGGGAGGGGAGTGGAGGCGAGAAAAAGAGTCGAAACTGGAACTTGTTAAACGGGAGGAGGAGGGTGTGCATAAAAGGGCGTGAAAAGACAGGTGTAAAAGGAGGGAATAGAGGATGGAACTTCTTCATGTGTCAAGTCTTTACAAAAGAGAAAAAGAAACGGGGCTGAATAATCGCAAAAAGTATGTCCTTCAGATGGGCGGGGAAAACAGGAGAAGCCTCAAGCGTCAGGCCACAACTGAAAAGTCGGGAATTGGGCTAACTAGCAGGGATTTTTCAGGAAAGTATGGAAAAGGCAAAAAAAAAACCCGCAATGCGCGACGAAAAACGCGAAACCGTTTCACTTCAAAGAGCATGTAATAATTCGATTTAAGTAGCGAAAAGCTGAGTACCAGCAGGGATCCTTGAGGAAAATCTAGAAAAACCGGGAAACCACCTAAAACTGGAAGTTTCTAGAAAAACTACGCTCAAATAGTGGCCAAAATAACTTATTTCAGCTAGAAATTCTAAGGAATGCTTTTCATGCAAACACAGCTCTGTAAAAGCCGGGGACTTGGCAAACTAGCAGGGTTTCTTGGAGAAAGTTGCGAAACATCGCCAAAATTCAGAAATTTCCTGAAAAAAAGCCAATTTTCGCTCAGTTACTTCTAAAAGAGCGATAAAATTGTGCAATTTAAAGTAAAAATCTATCTAAAATTTCCGAGCTATGGCTTTAAAATAGCTCTAAAATGTAAACTACCTCACTTTTAAAACTCAATTCCGCCCGATAATTCCACGATGAAAACACGCAAAGCTTGCCATCGGCCGCCTCCTTCCGTTTCGAGGGAGTTTTGGGGCGTTGCTCGCCGCTTTTCCGCCGTTCCTTCCGTCTTTGACGGTGGTCGGTGGTGCGGGCTATGTGGAACATGTTGGGTATCCAGTTCTCCTCCTGCTTTTTGTTGACCATCAACTATTTCGAGTTGTCGCATCGAAGGGGGCATGCAGGGCGATTCGTTGATTTATTCTGCCCCCCACTCTGCTGGCAGAACGTCGGTCGAAATAGCATACATAATGACGATTTGATGGTTTGTCTGGGAAATCGTAATTTTTGGCAGGAAATGGGCATGAGATCGCCACGATTTGACAGCAAGAACACTAAAAAACCCTATTTTATCTAAGTTCACAGTTTCCGGGTTAAAAAAAATCCAAATTCTAGGAACTTGGTTGAAAATCTAAAAGATTTTAAACCGCTAGAAAGCCTAAACCTTCAAAACAGTTTTTCCAAAACAAAGTAAGCAACTTTTGGGCTCCAAAATCCAATCCGAAGTTCGATCCTTATCAAAAAAGACTCTTAGATCGTGTTGGAACGTCAAAAAACTACTGGAAAACGTAAAAAAAGTTATGTAGATGCCAATGTCGCCTAAAAGTACTTTTAAACCGGGTAAAAACTATAAAAAAGACGGCAGATCTGTAAACCCTGCTCAACGACCAAAATTATTGCTAAACTACCGCCCCAAACAACCACCCCAAATTTCAGCCCGGGGGTCAGCACCGACTGGCTGGTAGAGCGCGGCGGAATTGAAACTGGTTGAAACTCTTCGGCCTGAAAAAAAGAGGAGCACGAGAGAGGGAGGGAGGGTGTTTGTTGGTGGGGCTGATGCCGATGGTCAGAAGAGGGGAGCAATAGAAGGGGAATACAGAAGAACCAGTTCTATCGAAAAGAAGCTGCTGATCCCTCGAAAAGAGGCGCAGCAAGATGGCTGAATAAATTCACGGGGGCGATAGCCGTGAAGTACCCATATCCTGGCAGCAGCAAAGGATGATCGAATGGCAACGCTGGGAGAGCTTTTCTAAACGATTAGGAAACTGGGATTTGGTTTGCAAGCTCGCAAGCTAGTTTTCCAAGTTCCCAATCGCAAACGCGAAAGCCGAATTTTATAGAAAACTTATTTTTTTAATTATCCCAAGGTTTCTAGCAATCAAAAACGGCCAAAACCATTATAAAACACAATTTCTATTTTCAACGGGCGGAAAAACCGAACAATAGTCCCCCCTGCTAGCAGTCCAGTACCAACGCGCGCGACCCTCGAAGAAGCACTCAAAAAATCATCCATGCTAAACAGAACTTTCTATTAAACGTACTTTTAAGAAGCAAAAACGATTTCGACACCTAAACTCTCAACCATTAAAACCCCTTCCATACTTTGCACTTCCTATTTTTAAATCCAAAAAAGACGATTAGTGAATTTATTGATAGCAAATCGAGAGATCAATAGCAAAACAACAGCGGGCACACCGGGGAGGTGACCCGATAAAAAAGTTCAAAATGAAAAATACTCGTCGAAAAATCGGGGATGGGCCGTCACGGCGGGGCGCGCGCGATTCATTGAAGTCTTTCTTTCGGCTCCATCAGGATGACGGACGAGCCACGGATCACGATCTGGCCAATCGGGGAATCCTCGCCGTTCTGAAACAGAGAAAATTAAACATTACTCGAAAGGGTTAATCAAATAAAGCTACGCCTTAAAAAAGTTAATTTACGTACAAAAAGCCACGAGACGGAAAATTAAATTTGCCTAAACCGACTCGAAAAGCATTTTTTTGCAACGTAAGACTATAAAGGATGATTCAAGCGTTGAAAAACGCCAAAAATCAAATAACCTTTTGGTGCTCGACGGCCTCATCGATGACCATGTTCATGAAGGGGTCGTAGCCACGAAGAATGCCTGAAAAAATTATCATAGGAAAGGTGCAAGAAAACGTACCGGAAACGCGTCGGTTGCCGTTGAGTTTGAGCTCGAGCTCCTTGTCCATGTACTTCTTCAGCTCTGGCGGGTGGGTCTTGCTCATTTTGGCTGGAAAAGGGGGACAAATTTTCGTGCGGAGGAGAACGTCTCGAAAGATGAAAAAAAACCAAATGATGCGTCGAATTGAGAAAGCTCCGACAAACAATTGGAAAGATTGAAGCGGCTAAGGTTTAGAAACTAGGTTTTAGCTCTATTTGAATGACCAATAGACTTGTGGAGACGGTGAGTAGCGCCTATTTTGAAAATTAGTAACTCGGAGGATGCAGCTATTTCAAAGCCAAAATTAGGGAGTTTTCAGAAGCCGAGTGCAAAAAGCGATAGGTCTCGACGCCGGATGTATTTCTAAGCAGTGAGAAGAACCTTATTTCAAAAGCAGAAAGGAGTAGGGTGGAGGCAACTATTTCAAAACAAAAATTCGAGTTTTTGGCAGCAAAAACGTGAGATTTCGGCGCAATCGATGTTTCTGGGCAAAACCACAAGCTAAAGCGTGTTTAGAAAACGAAGAAACGCAAGATTTCTAAAAAAGAATCGAAAAACAAAAGCAAAAGGAAAAATGATAGAACTTTTCAAAACCGTGGGCCCGTGAGATTTTCGGAAAAGAGGGCGCCGGGCGTCAGCCGTGTAGTTTGTGGCTGGGGCGCGCTTTAGGCGACAACACCCAGAATGAGAGTTGTACAATACCGTACTTCCTGGAATGAAAATGAAAAATTCTTGAAAGGCTAATAAAATGCTAGCATATAGTTGAAGTCACACCTTTTAGCGAGTTCGAGCTGTTTTCAAAGGTAAGCTGCTCGAGAACCGGCTGTAATTGGCGAGAAACTGACGTAAACCAGGACCATCTTACGTTTTTAGTACTTAAAATGCTTAAATTATTAGTATTAGTGATCAACTATTGATTTCCTGTTATTTCGAAGTTTCGCCGTTCGTTTAAGGCATTTAAAGGCCATTACAACACAAATGTTAGCCGATTTGCCGCTATAGTTTGGTCAATTTTAAGTGCGCTTTCCAATCTTACCGCACATGGGGCCGTATATTTCCAAAGAACGGAACTAATGTTTTGGGTGCAATTTTCTCGTCAAACCAGCGTGCCGCCCAGTAATTCCATAAATCGGGTAAAAACCCAGGGTAATCGGCGGCGATACTTATCTGGGGGCACCTGATTGAGTTTTCGACTCCGCTGAACGTTGGCTGTTTTTTAACGTTCAGAAGCTTATAAAAACCATCTAATAAGTATGGATTATAATACAACACTATCTTCTTTATTAACTTCTGATTCAACTGAAAGTTTTTCTTCGACATCATCTTCTGATGGAGAAGAAACCACCACTGAAGATTTATATGAATACGGCGAGGGTTTATACGGTTGTGCCGACTATTATGGTTTGATATATGAGAATATTGTTGGAGGAATTCATGAATGGAATGCGATGCCTATTAGAGGGGAATCCAATCTGCAAACTGATCCTTATGTCGTTAGCGCTCTCATAATTGTGGGTATTTTTTCAGGCTAAACTCGCAAAATTTCAAAAATAAATTTTTGTAAACTATCAACATTCTAAAACTACAAAAATGCGATTTAGTTTGGGTTGCTCGGGCTATCCCTCTCCAGTTGCTGCTTCTACATTCTATATCGTAATCCATTAATTTCGTGGGCCGTCAAGTGCTATCTCGTTTTCGACAATTGCTGTCGATGCTACGAGGCCGTGAATTGTCTATTTCTTGTACACTGTGTTATTACGTAAGCGGCAATTATAAACTATTCTAAAGCCGCCTGCCAAGCGAAAATTAGCTTAATTCGCTTTAAAACAAGTTTTTAATCCAGTTGGTGGTGCGTTGATACTTCTGGATCTCCCTTTAACGGTATCTTCTTCAATTCCCTGGTCACTTCCATCAATTTGGGCATGCTATATTCGATGCAATTGTTGGGGAATGCCCTTTCATTAAATAGGTATTGTCGAAACAGACTTAAAATGAAACTTTTTAGAGTTTTCGCCGTATTTTTCAACGGTCGCTATTATAAAACCATGGAACAATTTGCTTTTCCGCATGCGTTAATCTCATGGCTATTACCGATTGCCGTCTATTTGTTTCAAATGGGCAATAGTGAGTTAAAGAAAACGCCTTTTGGGGCATTAGCGTCCTCGAAGCATAATTGGAAACGTCGGCTTGGGACATAAAAACGCGCGTAAATGACTGCACCGGCTGGTAGGTGCATTTTCTACCGATTAAGACATGTAATTTAACTTTTTCGTCTATAAAAAACTTGTCTATGAAATTTTAAGGTTTTTAGATAAAAATTAATATTTTTAACCAGCGCGATTGGGCGTTCGGAAAAAATTAAACCTTTTTTAGCTATCAAATAGCTTCTTTTTCGTCGCTTTCTAAAATGTTAATTCTTTTAAGCCATTAAATCCAGGAAATAAAGCTATTTTTTTCAGTAATGAACCCTTTAACCGGCTACATTTGCTATGGTGGCTGGTGGTTCAGCCCCCAAGAGTATGTCAATAATAGCTGGTATACTTGGGCCGGCCAGCTGGGAGTATTTCTGGTTTCTGATCTCGACAAGGTGTTGTATGGTGTATTTGGCATTACCCTCATTATGGATGCTATCACTCTATGGAGGGTACGCAAATTGGTGAGTCATGAAAGTATGCTTGGAATTTAATAAAAAACTTTATAGACTCGGCTATCTGAACGAAGAAAACGAGCCGATGTCAGGTTATCGATTATGGTATGTGAAATTTCAAATAGGGCTTAAATAACGAATTTCACAGTTGCTAATAGCGATTAAAATTTCGAATTTTGTAGTGGTCAAATCAAATTCATTCAAATCCTAAATTTTGCTAGAAACAATTTTCGTAACATCCAAACTGAACGAAATTCGCCGAAATTGATGAAACGACGCCCATATAATCACTTATGCCATGAATTTGCAGAGTAAATTCTATCAAAAATAACTTTTTTCAGTTAATGGTAACCCACTTGGTGACGGTCACCTTCCTATTCGGCAATTTTATCGCGAACTATGTTATCCAAAACTCCTTCCCCATTATATACTTTTCCGTGTTGGAAATTGTCCCATTTACGGGACACGCCATGCTCACGTAAGTTTCTGCCAACTTCTTAAAGCGATCAAAACGAAAAAATTAAATTTACCGTGGAAGCTAAGCTATAAAAATTATTTAAGCAAATAGCCGTGCTCGTTTTTTTGTGAGTCAGTCATTCTAATCTCTGAATTTCAGGCTTATTGTCATCCTGTTCAACATCCCGCCAAAAGCGAGGACCGAGAAAGCGGCTAACGTTACTGTTACCAATTTTGGGAGTGGCAGAAATGACACTACAAAGATTACTAGAATTGAATAAATCTTTGGTTAGCTGGATTTTGTGAGCTTGATAAAGCTTTGTTTCGTTTAACTGGTTGCCACTTAACACCAATAAATGACAACTACAAACTACAATTTAATCCATTTCAGTTTTTGTCATTTTTCCAGAGATTTGGCCCTTTTTTGAAATCCCATGTTTTATCCGCGCTAATGGCTCCAAGACCAGCAAAACGATCGTAGCTAGGGAAATGGGCAAGTTTTGAGAAATCGTCATGACACTCCGCGTTGTTAGGCCGTTTTTTTGGAATCGGAATTCCCAAGATGAAATCGGGAAATCCTAGATTCAGTCGCAAAGATGTTCAACAAACTTTCGGCTCTTCTCGCCGTTGCTTTGGTAGGCAGTTTGCAGTTTAAAGATTGTCTATACCTTCTATAACCTAGATTGGCTGTGCGGGCGCGGCGGACTACGTCCTGGCGTGGTCTGGAACCTGCGCGACGACGTCGTCGAACAGTGTCGTCTTCACAATCTTCGGCACGGCTAGCTCCAGCGGATGGCAAGTCGTTTAGGGATGTGATTTAGCCTCGAACATACCGTATTTTTTCTGTTGCCGTATGTGTCAACAAATTTTTTAACTTAGCATTTGTACGACATATTTTAGGCTGGGTTTTTCGGTGATGTCTCCAGGGAATGACCGCGCGACAAACATCAAAGACAAAAACGGCATCATCCAGTTCAACTTGAACATCACCACTGATGGAAAAGTGATCATGAACGATAAAATCGTGAGTCGATTCGCTTGGCTTGTCAGCCGCAAATTTCATGTTGTAATGTTAGTCTATTTTGAGCCACAGAATTGTGAATCTTAACTCCGTATTGACAAAATTATTTATTTCGAAGCCGTTGAAGTCTACTTGGACTGTACTTTGCCTGTACTCTATTTTAGAAGAATCTCGGGTGGCGTGGGGCGAAGAAGAGGATCGAGAAAACGCAATCATTCTTCACTACCGGCAACCCCTACTCCTTCACCGTTACGTCAGTATTTCACGACAGTTTTGCAATTTATCGTCTTTTTCAGCTTCGTCAAGGCGCAGAATTACCAGTGGACACTGGCCGCTACCGGATTTGTGGGCTTAGAAATGTTTTTAGCCATCAAAAACTTAGAAAACAACGGCTTATTTGATATTTTAGACCTCGGTTTCGATGAAGACACGGCTGAAGGGCCGAAGTTGGCCAACATATTCCGTGACTGGGGAACCATTGGCAGCACTACAAACATGACCTGCACCTGAAGGGGGCGAACGCAATTGATAAAACTACGCCCGCTAACCCCGATAAATACATTGTTGACAAAGAAATTATTCGGAAATCAACAACGCAAAAACAAGTTAAATCAACTGCCCGGATAAAAATTCGAAGATGATGAAAGATTTCAGCGGCAAAACGTGAAACAATCTAATCATTATAGTTGCTTCCAGACAACAATAATGCTGGCCAAAAATTTCGTCTGGAGCTCACGGAAGCATATCTATCTATTAGTATTTACATCCGGCCCTCCAAAACATGTTATCCCTCTCAAGACATCTCGTGAGAATACTCGAAGTATCTAAGTAGTTAGTACCTTCTTCTTCTCTTTCCCTACCATCCCCACTTCTCCATCGCTTAAATAATTCCTCCCCTCTCTTCTATCTCTCTCTCTGTCTCTCTCTCTCTCTCTCTCTCTCTCTCTCTCTCTCTCTCTCCTCTTAATTAATTACCGTCTCCTCGTAAATGCCCTCCCTTTCCATCCATCGTAAATACCTAAATCCTCTGCTATTTGGTATTCCGGCCCACAACATCGTATTCTCCACGCATCACACACCCACTAATTGCAATTATCCTACCGTAATCCCCCTCTGCTGATCCACAGGAAATCCACAGGCAAGTCACAAATTTCTGGAATCTCATTGTTGCATTTGCGGAATTTTGACTTGTTGCAATTTTCTATTGCATGCCAGTTTTTAAAGGGACCGGCAAGTCAGTCTGTGGATTGTATAGTCATGGATCTGGACTTTTAAAACGCGTCATTCTTCTTTAGGTTCTTCTCCTGTTCCCTGGCCATAAAATTTGCTTCTCAGTCCCTTTAGTGAATGAAGTAGCTTTGTTTGATCGTGTCGTAAGCGTCATATTTATTTGTCATAGCTTCTCCTGATTATTATTCTTCATCTTTCTTTTTATTTTCTTCCCGTAATCCACCTGCCTCAATTTTCTAGCCATCTGACTGCCAACTAACCAAGCCAATCAACTCGACGGCTAATAGCCATAGTCATAACGAGCACTTTTGTTGTCTCACAGCGCTTCAGTCACTCGGCTAGAATCCTAGGTAATTTGTATCGAGATGGAGAATAAAGTAAATAACTCAGCTTATTAGATACAAAAATTTTTTCAAGATATCTGGCTGGTAGCGAATGATTTCTGAGAAAGGACCATAAAAATAACGAGACACACACGATTTTGGCACTTTCTAGCCCCTTAAACCCGCGAAAATCATTTCGGCACGGCAGCTTATCGTTTGACCTCAATTCCATGTAAAATCAGTGCTTGGTCACGTTTTGTACGTACATACGCTGCTACGTGCCGTCCGTTTTTCCGTGCGTTTTCGCGCTCCGGGTCGATTTCGAGGATGGTTCGGGTGTCAGAGCGCGGGCAAAAGCGTTCTAAAAATTTTCGCGCTCCGGGTCGATTTCGAGGATGGGTGTCAGATCTTGGGTTGTCGCATTTCAAAAGCTTTCAAAGTCAAACACTCTGTGTTTTGAACCCTAACTCGTTAAAGACTGAGACTCCGGGTCCGTTTATCCGTACAAGCGAATCAAGGGATTTCTCTCTCTCGCTCTCTCTCTCTGTCTCTCTCTCTCGCTCTCTCTCGCTCTAATTTTGTCCCCTTCAACCTCTAAACCCCTTCTTTTCTACCCCTACGTACCAGGTCGATTAGCATTTCGCGGCATAAGAGGGGGTGAAATAATGGGTCGAATCGTTGGAGGAAAGCCGCGTCCAATTCCTCCGACCCAAAACCCAACAGAGAGGAGAGGCCAATTTCCAATTGAGTCCAATTGACGGAGCAAGAGCAGAGATGAGAGAGAGGTGCTGCTCTTTTCAACGGCTCCTTTGGATTCTGCAGCTTGCAAATTCCTCAGAGTCTTCATCGGGTTTTTGGTTAATTTGATGCTGATCGACCTTTGGTGGGCTAAAATTGAAATATTGATTTTAGAGGTCGAAATGATAAGAATTTTTGAGTCCATTAGGGTGCTATGCTGTAGCGGAAACTACCGTAACCCAGTTTCAGCGCTACAATACCGACAAAATCCACAGGAAAGGGAAAATTTTCTCATTACCAGCTAACACACCAATTACGACGTTGCAAAATTATTCGCTGGCGCTACTGGTTACTGTGACCGCATACGGTAGCTCGGAATTTTGCGCATTGGGCGACGAAAGTGTTTGAAATCAACGCCTAGTTAACCAAACTATCGTAATCCGCGCTGCATGATCCTGTTTCGCCAATTCCGTGGTTTTCCAATACTTTGTGTTATATTTTTCGGCTCCTCTGGATTGTGTCGGTTTTTCTAGAATAAAATAAAAATCAAAGATATGTGTTTTGCTTTCCAGCAGTTTTTCTAAGAATTTACCTAAAGTACATCTCTTTGAGCACTATATTATTTTCTTTTCGGTCCAGCCAGTTAGCAACCGCAGTCTCGAAAAATTGGCTTCGTTTTGCGGATGACAAATTACTGGAAAATATGGGACAGGTCCTCCTCTAGAAGGGTCTTCGAATGGGGGCCAGGTGGCGACAGAAAAACCAAAAAAGAAAAAAAGCAATAGTTTTCTGAGTCATATTCCTTATATTGGCTTCGTCATAAAATTGGTGCCTTCTCATCATTACTCAGAAATGAATGAATTTTAGGGTGGGAGCAAAACATACGCCCACTCAAAAGTTTGAACAATGACGGACAAAAATAACAAATTTTTAGATAAATAGCCACCATTTTTAGCATTTAAAAACTACCAACAGAAAAACAACATAAAAATTGCGCTTCTAAAGTTTATTCTTTTTATTCAATCTCCAAAACCGCGGGAAACGGCCTTAAAGATGTCGCAAAAATTATTTTTTATTTAATTTTGCGATCATTCCAATATTTGGTTTTAGAAAATCTAATATATCTACAAGGAAGTGTTCGTTTTAACGAAGTTATTCTTCTTTTTTCACCTCATCACGTACTTCCCCTCAAAAGCCGCTAAAAATGCAATTTTCTGAGGCTTCAAAGACCCCCAAGAGGAGGCGGAAATGGCGACCGTAATAACCCAGAAAAATTAATTCTTTTTTAACCATATTAGGGGTTTCCCCAACCCGTTTTGTACTTCATATTTTCGAGTCCGAAACCTTACTCGTCCGGGTTTTGTTCCCATAAAAACCCATTTTCCTGTAATGTAATGTGACCGGGTGGCATGTTGACAGTACTGCTTCGTACCCCTCAGCTAATTGATTTTCGAGGTAAAAGTTCAGAGTTCGAGCTCAGATATCGAGTCCCGGATTGTTTGGCAAGTATCCGTGTTTAGTTTTGTAGTTTACATGCCAGTTTGAAAACTAAAACCGCTTTAATCGTCGAGAAAACGATAATTTTGAAAAAGAATGGAAAATCGTTATTTTGACATCTTCAATTTTCAGGAATCAGGGCAAAAAATCGAATTGTCTACTTTTTGGCAATTTTCCAGCTTGTAATTTTGTAGTTTGGTTGCCAGATTGTGAATTAAAAATAGTCTTGGCCTTTTAGAAAACGAAAATTTCGAATAAATCGTAAAAATCGTGTTTTTGAACCTTCGATCGCCTTTTTATCTTTGAGCCCAATCAGTTCTTAAAAAGTATCTTTAGTCGCTCTTTTTCCATTTAACCCAATTTAAACCGCCGTCTTCTGTTTCACCCCACCTTATCCGCTTTGCAACCAAATTGGTCTCCCTTCCCTGTGAGGGCGTATTCTCTTCCGGTTCCGGGTCGACGGGCCGCATGCGTACTGCATTTCCGGGTCAGTCTAAAATCCGGGTCATATTTTTAGCAGATTATTATTAAAAATAATGGGTTGCGTGGCAGTTAAGTGAATCAACTATTCATATAGTTAACAATGCATAAAAACGAAATTTTATGAGCCGAAAACACCATTTCAGTGACCTAGCTGTCAAGTTCCGGCTCAATCCATCATTCCGGTCGGTGACATTCAGGATTATACTCAAAATAGCTTAACTATCTGTCAGTTTAAATAATAAAACGATTGGCAACCGCTTATATTAAGAAATAAAATTTTACTAGCTAAGCACCGAAATCCAGATCAGGAAATTTGCGATTTTTGCCCGTTTAAATTTGTAACAATTTTTCTATTTTTTTCTATCAAAATTGTAAAACTTTCTGACGTTGTCTATAGCCAGACTTCCTGCCCGACTATACAAAACACAATTATTTCAGTAAAAAAGTTCATTTTTTAATTTCCAGCTCCACGGCGGCCATAGATAATCGTGCAATTTTCCGGGCATTTCCCTTATTTTTAAACGGCTTCCTGGTAGTCGGAAACGCCACATAAAACGAGACCCCCCACTGAACTGGGTTAGCTCGTTTTTAATTAGAAAACTCACTCTGTCCCCTTTGGAGTGATGCAGTCCGTTTAGAGTGCATTATAGGAAACGGGGAGGGGGAGTGGCTTTTAGGGTCCTCTACTAGAAACCCCCGTCAGTCAAGCACCCCGCACTTTTTGGACTTGAAACCGGGGCGAATTGCTCTTCTGACTGACACTCACGTAGTAGAACCACATAGGGATTGGGTAGCTAGTGGAGGTGCGTTGCCGAATTTTGTTCTGGATGCAGGCGGACTGGCTACCAGTCAAACGAATCACACAGAGAAGGCAAGCTGGCAGAGGTTCTTTGCGCAAAATTGCCGTGGATTTATGCTAACTGACCGTGAGTTTAGCGAAGGGCACAGAAAAGGCAGGCCAGCACCAATTCTCTGTGCAAATTTTTGCGTATTTCATCTATCTGGTTGTCAGTTTAGCGGATGGTCAAGCTAGGAGAGGCCAGTTGCGGAAAATGCAGCAATTTTGGCCTAACTGTCAGTCAGTCAGTCGAGTCGAGCTGATTTCATATTTGGAAACAACCTAGCCGAGATCATTTGAACATTTTCTAGATTTCGTAAGGAGCCACTCTTAGGACTCAAAACCCGTGGGTTTAATGGAAATTCGGTCGTCCTCAGTGACTCACCC